TGTCATCCCCTAAAGGAAGATGACATTTGCCACAATCAGCTCTTTACTGCTATAACTTCCCTGTCCTACCCTCTTCTGCCTATAAAAGTCTTTCATTGTGTACAGCACTTCAGAGTTCTTCCCTATTTGCTGGATGGGATGCTGCCCAACTGATGAACCACTGAATAAAGCCAATATGATCTTTAAAATTTACTCAGTTGAATTTTGTTTCTTAACACTCTGAACGTAGCCTGGCATGTAGCAAGTGCTTTATAAGTATTTGTTGAATAAGTAAATTATATTTCAAACTTTAAAGAACTTTCATTACATGTATAAAATGAACACTTTTGTTTGCCTCTTAAACACTACAATCATCTTTTTGTTTGTAACATTTTTTAGCCACCTTCCCATTTAAAAACAAACAATCTCCCTAAATCCTAATTAAACTAAGATATTTTGCCACATCTTGATTCATAATGACTTGCCCCAAAGCAGATATAAAATGCTAAGTGAACTGCACACTCGTTTTATCTTCTCACCTGAAAAGCATACCTTTACATCCTTCAGTGCAAAATCTAGAATGTCCTCATCACCACCCATGGATTAGGGTAAAGCAATTGCAGTCAACAGACAGAGCCCTCCAAGTAGCACAAGAGGAACATGGCCTGTCTTCTCCCTCTTCCGTGACCAACAACCAGAGATTTCACTGTTGGCTTTTGTCCTGACTTTACCAACGTGACTCACTTTTAACAGTGTAAATATGGATCCACTTTCATATGAATTTCCGTATTAGAAAAGTCTGCTCACTTAACACAAAGCACTATTTGAATCACAAGCTTTTTTTTTTTCCTCAGAAGTGATTAAGAATTGTGGAAAATTATTTTTTTCTCTTTTTGAATAGAAATGACTAACGTTTTAACAGAATGATTTTTGCTGAAAATAAGCATAATCAAGAGATTTAAAAAAAAAAAAGAAAAGAAAACTGGAAGTGAGGGATTCCCCTGCATCAAACTATAAGGGTTATTTAGCTGTCTCCAAGAAGATGAAGAAAACTATGAACATAATAGCTGAATTATTGAGAAAGAAAAATATATTATACAAAGACCAGAAAATAGAGTGGGAGAGAAAGGTCTGTAATGGCTTGGCTGCTAAAGGACATTTTTAAACTCCTGCCAGCACTAAGTGCTCTTCCCAATGAATAAACCATATGCCCATTTTTATATGCTTCCTTTCACTAAGATTCTGCTACTTCACAGTATTCCCTTTGTCCCAGTCCCTGCCTCATCTTCTGCCCACCCCTCTGCATGGTTCCCCCATCCCTCACTTCACCTCCTTGGGCAACCAGTATTTGTGTCCTCGCTACCAACTTGAACATCTGCTACCTGAAAAAAGAAAAATCACCTCATTGCCCAATATCCTCCAGGGCAAAAAGTTTGAAGGATTCAGCATCCTCAAAACACAGCCACAGAAGGGGGAAAAAAAGAAGAAGAAGAAGACGCATATCTTTTCCAGCTCAGTAAATTCTATCTATATAAAGATCAAGCGAATAACACTTTTAAAAATTCTTCAATGCAAGCAAATCCATGTTACCAACAACATACTGTCTTTCTTTATGCATAGACAGAGACCCACACATTTTATTTTATTTCATCTTTGCAAGTGTGTCTCTTTTTCAACATATTACCATATAGAAGAGATAGAGCATATATATAACTCTAGAGAACAAAGCGCCAATATTTCCCTTCTTTCTCCTGGATGGTTTTCTGTCTTTCTCTCTCCCTCTCTCTCTTTTTTTAATGTCCCAAAACACTTCCTCTGCTGAAAGATAAGAAAATATTTTCACTGAATTAAAGTGAGCTCTGTGTTAAAACAGCTTGCCTGAATCCAACCGGAGCCCATGTTTTTAAACTTCTTCTCAGCATTTGGTCAGTGGCTCTCCCCACTCCACTCACTTCTATCAGAAGACTCGTCTCCAACCTGAACTCCCATCACCATTTACCTTTGCCTTTAAGCTTTTACTAGTCCACTTCCTTGCTATGTCTGCACTTAATTTGATTCCGTCCTTCATGCTTTTTTCATTATTCTTAGTTCATCCACATCACATAAATTATCACCTTTGTTTTCAGTTCCCCATGTGCCCCCTTCACACTAATTCCAGATAAATACTCCTGATTCTTATCCATTTAATCCAAATTAATTCATATTCCCTCTCCGTATCCTCTATCTCCACCTCTACTTCTCCTCCTGTCTATTTCTTTTTCTTATAGCACCTACTTTTCCCTCCATGCTTGCCTCTGCAGAGGCTTTACTGACAAAATGCTTCCAGAGGGTGCAAGGCGATTGCTGCCTGTGATGTTTTAGGAAAGCCATGCTCTACATTACTGCCAACTGCACTGGTCCAACAGCTGCACATCCAATTTCACCCTCCACGACTAGTGTCCACGCATCATCACCCCCACACTGAAATTTTGGAAGTGAGGAGGAAAAAACTTCTTCCTTTTTGGTGATATTTAACTTTAAGTGGTTTATTTCTAGTTTACAGAAAGCTCTTTTCACAAAATCATCACTAATCTATCATCAGCACTAGTCACGACTACAACCAACCCTATTACCATCTTTAATAAGCTCTTACCATCTGCCAAGTATTTTACATATATTTACTCATTTAATCTTCAAAACAAGCTAGGAGGCAAACACAATTATCCCTATTTTACAGATGAGGAAACCGAGGCTCAGGGAAGATAAATCACTTTTCCAATTCATAAATCTAAGAAGTGGCAGGGCCAGAATTCACACCCAAGTCAACCTGACTGCAAAGCCCTGTTCTTAACCACTCTACAGTCCTGCCTTTCTAATAATGCATGGTGCCTTCTGGGGTAAATTCCCCACGGGGAGGAGTCTTTCCACTTTAATCCACTATAAGGCAAGTGGTTGCAGGTGCTGGGAAACATAATGAGCTCCACCTTGATAATCGCTCTGAACAGACGAACGCCCAAAAAACAAAGCAAATAATGCGTCACTGCTAAGAGTTATCCCTCTAAAGCATCTGTTGGAAAGAGGGGATAAGAAAAAGAAGAAAGTGCTCTGGAACCCCCCAGAGAGGAATCTCTGCCCCTCCAGAGCTGTCCAGCCTCCATACTAGGCAGGATGTAGTCTGTCTTCATGTCGGTCATTCAGAAATGTGCTCATAATGTGAATTCCACACCCGCAACAGAACTCCACCTTCTCCCCTCATCCTGCCTTCGTATCCGGGGGGAGGGGGAGATGAGTCATGGCTGAAGTTGGGAGCAGTGCAATTTTTCCCTTACTTTACCCACTGACTTGAGAAAGAAAGAAAGAAATATACATAAAAATAACCTTCAGGACAGTATCAGAGAGAAAAAAAAAGCTGACAACAGCAGGAAGGCTTTGCCTTGATGTCTGTGGACTGGAGGAATCGATCCCAAACTCCCGTGGGAACCACGAGTGCAATCTGTGCCTGAGCCACGGGTTCGAAAGTTACTGTACAGACCTTCCCATGAGCCAAGCAAGGGCCCTGTGGGAAAGCGAGTTCGGAATTCGAGAAGAACACGCCCGAGTCCTGTGCTGTGAGGACGCATCGTCTGCTCTCGTCTTCCCATGACAGTCCCTCCAAGGTCCAAGGTGGTGACTGCGCCTAGTCACACATTACACACTCCTGCCTCAGGAAAGCTCCTCTGTCCTGCACAAAGACATGTCACATCCTCTCCTCCTCCAGAATCTTAGAGCTGAGAGGGGCCTTATGATTGTTTGGCAGATGTGAAATATGAGGTCCAGTGAGGTCCAGGGATGCACTCAAGGTCACAAAGCAGTTAGTAACAGTGTTAGAACTAGAACCCAGGTTCTCCCAATTTTCCAGCCAATCAACTTTGCACATGTGTTTGATGGCTCAGTCCACAAACCACTTCAGAGCACCAGGAAGACGAGCAGTGAGCCCTCTCACAGACACATCTCCTAGCTCAGATCCAATCACCCATTTCTTCCTGACAGCACTGCTTCTGCTGCTTACACTTCCAGAGCTTCCCCCCGTTCAGCTTGCCTTGTGCACGCAGTATGCAAAAAACTATACCAGCAACACACTGTCGGGGACTCATTTAAAAACCACCAATGACAGTAATTGCTCCTGCGATGCTAACCTCAAGAAGAGACACCAGCCCTCAGCTTCCGCGTCAAAACAGAGAACAAAGACCAGATTCAAGGAAAATGCCAATCTCACTCTTTTCTCTACAAACCCCACTCTTCCAAATGATCCCATAGCTCCCAAGATCGATGTGATTCCTGGGAGTCACCACAGAAGTCCTGAGTGAAATATCCAGTCCCCATCGGTCCCCACTGCCTTTACCACACACATAGCAATGTAATCACTTTAGCAACTTCTCCGTAACAAGCTCATTAAAAAGCAATTCTTCCATCTCTCCATAAAGCACGCGCCAGAGAACAATGCAAAAGAGGAGATGCCAATTAATTATAGAATGATCACATCTAATGAACTCTGAAACCCTCCTGCTGTTGGTGACTTTGATGAAAAATCAGGGATGCTGGAAAAAGAGTGAATAGAGACACCCTGGCTACCTTGTTCAACCGTGAATTCTTTCAAATATACCTCCGCAGATTCCAGCATTGATCAAAACTGCAGAATTACACTCCTGAACACAATGAAAAGTGTCAGGAAAGTGACAAGCACATCTGTCACGTACGTCGGGGACTCACACCTCCAGGGCCCCTGTTCAGGCATCCTTAAGAGTATTTGACTCTACACTGTGGTTGGCATGGCCCCTGAATGTATCTCCGAGCCAGCGAGTGACAAACCCATGTCCTGTGCTCGGGACATCTGGAGACCTTAAGGTAACAAGGGAGTCACCCTGCTTCCCCACCCAGGCCCTGCTGCCTCTCTACACCTCCTAGTGGGCATGGAAGCCCCTTCTGGGAACAGAGAGAAGCCCTTCCCACCATGAGGCTAAAGGAGGAAAAGGAAGAAGCCACGTGCGGCCAACTTGTACCACTACCTGTGTGAGTCCTCTGGTGGGCCTTTAAGTGGGAGCTTTTTGTATAAACTTTTCGGCACCCGTTAAACTGACAGCGGTGAACCCTCTTCTTGTTTTCGGGGCATGCCTCAGCCCCTACCCCTCCTTGTTCACTGTCGCTCTGTCCACTCTTAACTGTCCCAGCTGCCGTCACGGCTGCCGCTGCTGTTGCCACCCCTCCCACCTTTACTGAGCTGAGTGTGGCCTTCTTGGCCACCAGTTTCAACGTCACCGTGCCATCCACGGCTGAGAGAGTCTGTGAGGTTTTGACCAGATGGCGGCTGAGCTCAGGGGACGATGGGGGTGTTAATGAGGTCACTGCGTTGAGCTGGGCCTGGTTGACGGCCGTGTAGCTGTCTAGAGAAGAGCTGGTCGGCTGGAGGCTGAGGCAGGTCTCAGATAGCAACTTGTCCCGAGAGAGCAAAATGTCCACTGCTGAGCTCTTCTCGCAGATGGTCGCTTCCACTGGGAGCAGCAGGGGGTCTAAGTGCCGGAAGCTCTCCTCGATGCACGGGGGAGAAGAAGCGTGCAGGAAGCAGTCCAAGTCCTCCCCGAAGGTCTCCGAGATCCTCCTAGGCTCCGTCTGTAGGTAGCGTTCCAATTCAAGGCATGTCTGCAGAGGGGAAGGAGAGAGGGAGAGAAACAGCCATCAGAGGCAGAGAACACCACGGGACCACATGCTGACAGGCAGAGGAAGACACGGGAAGGAATAGAGAACATTTCATGGCTCGTTATCTGAAACTCTCATGTTGAAAGGGCTGACCTTGTTATTTTCTCCCTGGACACTTCTGATGGGTTCATAAGGGTCACATATGAGCTCAACTATTATAATTGATGGGGAACTGGAAACCCAGAAGGGCTATCTTACACCATCAAGTTCCCTGAGAACATTCGATGTTAAAATGATCTCATGCCCAACAATTCAGTTCAGCAGGTGAGATGCTCGGAGCCTCCCTAGGAGTTCCCATGAAAGCAAGAAGCAAATAGAATCAGACAAGGCTTCCATATCAAGATAGGACTCCCCACAGTCCAACTTCACTTTTCAAAAAGACTTTTTGCAAGTCACGAAAATAAGTCAGTTTTCCAACTCGCTCTGAAAGCATAAACGATGCCCACCCAAACTAAGATGTGACTTCAGCCAACAGCAAGTCCTGCCCTGGGAATGGATTCCCTAACCAGTAGGGATGGACATTGTTCTAAAGAACGCCTCTTATAAAACCTTTGATGCACAAGACAAAACCCCTGTTGTTTATAGAAAGTTATTCAGAATACAGTTGCTACTCATTGTGGGGCAAGGAGCGTGAGTCCCATCACAATAGTTTAACATCTCTGACTATGTGATAAAAATAAGTTCAGACACAGCTACCTGAATTGGTAAAGATAAGACACAATCTATTTCAATATAAAGTTCTTCCCTGGTAAAGAAATGAGGGGAAAAAACCCAAAAAGTTTAGAGTTTCAACAAATCTTCATCCATGGTGCTCAGAAGTCTTTGTAAGATGGTGGAAGTGCTTTTACAAAAAAGCGGATATTTAAGTTTGTAATCTAAAAGCTCTTCTCATTTAAAATCCTACTCTTCCAGAATTCGGTAGAAAATCACGATGCTAACTCATGCCATCCATTCAATTTGCTCTAACTTCTGGGCTTCAACAAAGAAACACTGATGGCAAGTTTAAAATGTGACTAGCTCCTAATTTACTGCCTCCGTAGAGCTTCTACGTTTTCAACCAGTGTTCTGATTCTAGGCTTTTATGCTGTGAAGAATATATTTTAATGATATACCTAGTTGTGTTGTATCTGTCAAGGATTTTATTTTGGTGACATTTCAAAAGATTGGTTTTTACTCAGCCTTCTGGTAAAACCCTGCATTCCTGAATAAGAAAAACAGACTTTTAACGATGAATCACCTTTGGGTCTCACTGTTGATTTTCAACAGTATAAACTAATGAATGGTTCCAATCTTCATTCAGCACTCAGTTCATTCAACTACTGTGCTCACAGCAAGGTGCAAGGCTTTCTATGTGTTAGAAGGAGAAGCCACAGAAATAGATTCATGTGATGTAGGTGCAGAATAAACAATTACAAGCTAAAAATTACATGAATTTACAAGCAGGTGATACTAAATAACATAATAATAAAGTATGTTGATAAGTTCCTGGGGGATGAGTGGACAATGAATTCTACATAACATGGAGGTATTAATCAAGGAAAGCTTATTGGAAAAGTAACTTTGATTCTATTTACTTATTGATTAAATAATAACTCTTGCTGAGAAGCTTCTCATCACTTTAAATTCAAAACCAACATTACCACCTTCTCAGATCTAGGAATCTACCTTATCCTTATTTGCCCCTTTTCTGAATTCCATGTTTCAAAGATTTTCCCTTTCCTTTTTCCATCTCAATGCTAGAAATTACCCTTTACTTCTTTCCAATATTGAAACCCTTGGTCTTAGCTCCAATCAATTCACTTCTGAATTTTATAAGATATCACCCCTGAAACCTCCCTTAAACCTCCCCTTCCCTTTTTAAACCATCATCTACCAAGCACAGTGTCTGCCACTCAACAGGTACACAATGCCTATCAAATCAACTTTACACTGTTATTTTGAACATTCTATTCTACTCCACTCCTCAAAGGCCATCTGATGACCCTAACCTGGACTAGGCTGAGGCTAGCAATCCTAGAAATGACCACTAATACATGTTCTGGAATACAACTGTAATGCTCCTTGAGCTTTGCTTACAGAGCAGCACCAGACTTCTGAGACACAGATATGTTTCAGGTAGAAGTCAGCTGAATCATGGGTTACAAGAGGTCCTTGAGGCAGTTCCCTGCCTCACACACAAGGACTATTTCTTACCCACAGTCACCAATGTCTATGGACAAAGCTTTCAAATACCATGTGCTCTTACATAGTTTCTAGCTCAAAGATTCAAAAGTCACTAAGAAATTGTGATTGTTAGTAAGCTCAGATCTCTTCATATTCAGATTTTTAAGGAACAGATATTCTAATGCATTTATATACATACTTTTCAGGGAGGATTAAAAAATAACCCACCCAGTATGCCCCAGTTTGCATCCCAGAGTACATGGATCACACTAATGATCTAAAGATGGAGATACTTCCCATCACTAAAATGTGGGAAAATCTGGATCACTTAAGAGAGGCTATCACTTGCAGTCCTAACACAAGGCATTCTTATTCCACCTGAGAGTTACAGAAGCATGAGTGCCCATCAGTATGTGCTGAATAGACCTCTGAAATCATGATGGAATTATTTTTGTCTTGAGAAATCCACTTCTTAAAATATCTGCTGGTACAACAGCCAAGACATGGAAGCAACCTAAATGTCCATCAACAGATGACTGGACAAAAAAGTTGTGGTATATTTATATGATGGAATACTATTCAGCCATAAAAAATAATGCCATTAGCAGCAACATGGATGGACCTAGAGATCATCATTCTAAGCGAAATAAGCCAGAAAGAGAAAGAAAAATACCATATTATATCACTCATATGTGGAATCTAAAAAAGAGAAAAAAAAGAGGACACTAATAAACTCATCTACAAAACAGAAACAGACTTGCAGACATAGTAAACAATTTTATGGTTACTGGGGGAAAGGGGATGGGAAGGGCTAAATCTGGGAGTCTGAAATTTGCAAATGTTAGCCACTATATATAAAAATAGATTTTAAAAATTTCTTCTGTATAGCACAGGAAACTATACTCAATATCTTGTAATAACCTTTAATGAAAAAGAACATGAAAATGAATATATGTATGTATATGCATGAATGGGACACTGTGCTGTACACCAGAAATTGACACATTGTAACTGACTGTACTTCAATTTAAAAAAAAAGAATTACGTTTGAACTGGAATAAAAAAAATAGTATCTGCTGGTGATAAAGCTTAAGTAGAGAAAATTTTGTCAATCAGAAACTCATCAGGAGTGTTGGAAGTTAAAATGTCAAGGATGAGGAGGATTTCAATGTTAGATTATTTCCAAGCAAAAGAGTTAATCTCCAATGTTCTTAAAAAATAATTGTAAGAACTCCCTTAAGAAACGCCTATGATGTTTAATTGGAATTTGAGTATTAGGGTATTTACTCATAGATTTTAATACACACACACACACAGGTATATATAGAAATAAATGTGTATATACACATGTAAGTATACATACATGTACTTCCTAGCTCTGTCAATCAGGAGAAGAGTCTATGAGCAAAGTCACCCCAGTGGCAATGAGCCTGCCTGGCATGAAGATCTTGGTTTCTAAATATCACTATCCAGTATAGGGATAAACCAGGTTGCCTTGGGGAAATAGTTGATTCAAAGGCTGAGGCAAAGAAAATAAAAGCTGAGCCTAGAATAACCAGTGGTACCAGAAGGTAAGGAAGTGCTCATAAAGTGATGAAGGTTTGTCAGGAAGACTGAGGAGCCAACCTGAAGGAGCTCTCAAAGCCCAAATCTAGGCAATCTGAACAATAAAAATGAATAATGATAATAATAAATAAATAATAAATAATGATAACAATAAACAATAAATGATAATAATAAATAAATAATAAATTCTAACCCATGGAATAAAATTAATATCTATGAATCTATAGTGATATAAACAAATGGTTGAACAAATACACTAATGGAGGAGATAGATCAGCTGCTCCTTATAGTAAAATTATAATTAATAAACATAGAAGGAATGTTGGAAACAGAAAATCACCATTAGTCAAATAACAAAGTAATAATGACTACAGGCAAGAATCACCAATGCATGTTAAAATTAATAGATGAAAGTATAATGAAAAACCAAGATATTTGCCTAGCCTCAAAGTATCCCCCCCACAATGAGACATTTATTAATTACAAAGACAAAAATAATAATTTTACAGTAGGGAAACCTGGCATGTGACACCTTAACCATACGATGAAATTTAGCAGCATATTGACATTATGTTCCCCTGACACCACAGGCTGAAAGGACATGACATTATTCTGTGCCATTCTTGCCAAAAGTACACAACCTCAATCTAATCATGAGAAAACATCATCCAAGTTGAGGGCCATTCTACAAAATAACTAGCCAAAATTCTTTAAAAGTATCAAGGTCATAAAGAACAAAGAAAACTGAGAAGCCGTCACAAACAGAAGGAAACTAAGGAGATAAGACAACTAAATGCAAAGATCTCAGCCTGGATCCGGGATGAGAAAAAGGATATTGGTGGGAAAAAAAACAATGTAATTCAAATAAAGTGTATAGATCAGTTCATGGTATTGTATCAATGTTAATTTCCTGTACTATGATTCTGTAACATTAGGGAAACTGAGAAAAGTATACAGGAACTCTATGTGCTATTTTTGCAACTTTTCTGTAAATCTAAATAATCTGAGAGAGAGAGAGGAAAAAAAATATCCATCAACAAACCAGGAGTGTCTGCAGACTGCAAATTTCAATATAGATTCAAATGTTCGTTTGTCCACCAGAACAAGAGATTTACTCTGTCCCAATGACACTCTAGCCAGCAAACTCCAAATTGGTGTCGGCAGGTGTCAATATAATGACATAAATCACGGCTGTCTGGTACCTCACCTTGGAG